CTTAGATTCAACAAGTTGTGACCCACATATTTCTTACACAAATTCTATTACGCGACGCATCGCGTAACGCGCCGAGCGCGGCGCATGGCCCACGCGTCCGCGTCCACGCCGGAGAGGAAGAAGGCGAGGTGGTCGCCGGCGGTAGGGTTCCGGCGGGGTTAGGGTTTTCCCCGGTGGCCTTAGAAGGAGGATTTGGGGAGAGGCGGCAGCGACACGGCAGTGGTGGCGAGAGATACGATGGCGGGAGATGGCGATTGGGCGGGGTTGATGGCGGGGGCGTCATGGCGGTGCTCGCCGGTGAGCTGCTGCGATTAGGGTGGGCGAGGTCAAGGGGTGGAGGCGGGTTACAAGCCGGTGGCGCGGCGGGAGCGGCCCGCCGCCAGTGGTGGAAGCCGAGGGCGGGGGTGGGGGCGAGGACGAGGACTTCGCCATTGGTGCGCCGCCCTGTGGTTTGGGGAGGGCAGGGTCGAAGAGGCGGCCCAGACGGTGGGCGAGGCGACAGGAGCCGTCGGCCGCCGGTGGTGGAGGGTGGGGGAGGGGCGGTGGAGGAAGGGTGCGGGGAGGAAGAAGATGACCGCGGGGGAGGCGCATCGCGAGGAGGAAGAAGGGTCAACAATATCGTTGTCCTATTTCTTGTGGGTCATAACATACTAGGTAATTTTTCTTAGATTTGACAAGCAATGCTGCAAATCACCACATACAAGTATAACTTCCATATAAACTTTGCAGATCTAGGATAGGGAGTTATATATATATGGTAAATTTCTTTGATTCAGCAAAGGGCTTTCATGGAATTATTAAGTGGAATTTATATACTTTGTAATAATATATTGAGAAGATATAAGTGCCTCTAATTTTGCCTAAAAATTGTTTCTTTTTCAGCTTGAGTCCCATAAACCTTCTCGATGGCAATGTTTATCAATCGCCTCATCTTCTTTGTTGTAAGTTGGTGGTCAGGCATCCCAGATCTACAAACAAATGAGAATAACGAAGCATGTTGTGAGGCTTGGCCCCCCGGTGCAGCTCCTACTATTGTTCTTGTTGGTAGTTGGCACATCATGTATGTCAACCACGACGACGATGATGTTGATTCTCCTCCTCACCGTTTGAAACTACCAATAGGTGAATGCATTATTTCTTAATTACCTGCATAATTATTAGTTTTAAGTTAAATAATTGTTATTCTACAATTCCCAACTGTGTTTCCATATGTGTTCAAATCTAGATTGGGACATAAACAAGGTGTTCGCTTTCTAAAAAGAATGAATTCTACACATAATAGTCATTCTGTATCACTTTGCTCATTTCTTTGCTAGGTCAAGAACTTTGTGATTTGGCTTCTATTGGTGTTTTTTCTATGCTAGTCTCATGTCAGACTTTCAAATCTAATGGCCCCGTTCGGCTTACCCCATATTCGGCTTGTTCGGCTTGTTTTTTTTAGCCAGAACAGTGTTTTTCTCTCACAACAATTCAGCCGGAACAGTGTTTTTTAGCCAGTTTCAGCCAAGATTCAGCAAGCCGAACGGGGCCCGGTGTTCATTATACTATCTATTGCATAGATTCATATACTTATTTATTCCTAGAGGTATATCTTCCATAGATCACCATGTTACATTGAATATGTCTGATTAAAAGAAAAGGGAGTCACAAAATGGGGTTTTGGTGCACTATCTCTCAATGCACAGCTCATATTGCCACACTTTCAAATAATCTTAGAGATAGAAAGCTAATGTACAAATCTTACTAGTAAATAGGCTAGGCCTCACTCGCAGTGACACAAAACTATTGTTACACTACCAAACAAATGCAGATAAATAATATTTTTATTAATAATATTGTCTCACTACTGGCTGAACAATCTTAGAGACAGATTTTTTTTTATGTGAACGTTACAAATAGAGATAGACACCTCACTCAATTGCACACTACTATTAATGTTTTCACACTAGCAAACAATATTAGAGATAGAAAGCTGCAGCTGATTGTTATTTGTTTTACTATTAAACAAAATATATAGGTCATGTTCGCTTCTCTTGTAATCCGTCTTTTCAGCTTGTTTTTTCAGTCGGAACAGTGTTTTTTTCTCACGACAAATCAGTCGGGACAGTGTTTCGGCTTGTTTTTTTCAGCAAAACGAACGGGGTCATAGATAGAAAGCTAATATGTAAATGTTACTAGTAGATGACCCCACTCGTAGAGGCACACATTTTTGTGTTGTGACACTGCCTAACAATCTTAAAGATAGAAAGTTGATGCTTGATTATTATTAAGTCGCTATCGAATAATGTTAGAGACAAAAGCCCTGTTCGCTTGAGCTTATTCAGAACTACTTTTCAGCTATGGAACAATATTTTTCTCTCACAATATTTCAGCATAAGCATCAGTATAAACTAAATTTCAGCATCTGCGAACCGGGTGTTTCGTAAACTCATTATTGTCTCTCTCTCTCACACACACACAGACTAATAATCTTAGAGAGAAAATTGTTGCTTGGTTGTCATTATCTCATGAACAAAACAATCTTCTAGATACAAATCTACTTTGTAAATATTACTATAAATTGGACTAACTCGGAGTGGCACATAATATATTAGCAATCTTAAATTAGAAATATGTTGCTTAATTTTCATTGCTTTGCTAGTAAACAGTATTAGAGATTGAAAGCTAGTATGATAGTGTGACTAACAGACAGATGAGCTCTACTCACCGTGCTCAAAACAGTCACACTGTTTGGCAGAATAACTTACTCTTTCACATAACCAAACAATTTAAAGATAAAAAGAGGATTGTCATTGCCTCATCACTATTATATTAAACAATCTTAGAGATGAAAATGTGGTGTTACCGGTAGATAGGCTCTACTCACTATGACATGCAATTCGTTGTCAAGCTGCTAAAACAGTCTTAGAGATAGATAGATCCCACTCTACCAAACAACCTTAGAGATATAAATGTTACTACTAGATGCCACCTGTTATATAGAACTAACAGCTGTCACATTACTAAAAAAATTTTAGAGATAATAACATCATCAACAACAAAGCCTTTAAGTCCCAAACAAATTAGGGCGGACTAGAGTTGAAACCCAGTGAAAGCAATAAGGTTTAGGCACGTGAATAGCTGTTTTTCAAGTACTCCTATCTAAGGCTAAGTCTTTGGGTATATTCCATCCTTTCAAGTCTCCTTTTATTGTCTCTATCCAAGTCAACTTCGGTCTTCCTCTTACTATCCTGGCTTAGGATTCCACTACATACCGGTGCCTCTGGAGGTCTCCGTTGGACATGTCCAAACCATCTGAACCGGTGTTGGACAATCTTTTCTTCAATTGGTGCTACCCCTAATCTATCATGTATATCATCGTTCTGAACTCGATCCCTTCTTGTATGACCGTAAATCCAAAACAACATACGCATTTTCGCGACACTTATCTGTTGAACATATCGTCTTTTCGTAGACCAACATTCCGCACCATACAACATAGTGGCCCTGTTCGCTTGGAGGAATCTGGATGAATCTGGAGGAATTTGTGAGAGCATAAACAGTAACTTTCATCCGTGAACAGTGAATTTCGGCTGGTTTTTTCACCAGCCGAATGGCGCCAGTAGGTCTAATCGCCATCCTATAAAACTTGCCTTTTAACTTCTGTGGTATCCTTTTGTTACATAGGATACCAGATGCTTGGCGCCACTTCATGCACCCTGCTTTGATACTATGGTTAACATCTTCATCAATATCCCCGTCTCTTTATATCATTGATCTTAAATAAGTTGCTACAGCACTTAATTATTATCACTATATTTAGAGATAATAAGTTGCTACAGTACTTAATTATTATCACTATATCTCAGTATCAGGCAATAATCTTAGCGATAGAAAGATATTGTGTAACGTTATTAGTAGATGGCCCTGCATATGCTCTTAAACAATCTAAAAACATAGAAAGCTTTTTTTAGAATTAAAAAACATAGAAAGTTATTTTTAGAATAAAAAACATAGAAAGCTAGTACTGCTTTACTAATTGCATCACTGCCGAGCGACCTTTTATTAGAGGTAGAAAACTTTTAACGGCACGTAGGGCATGGGCCCACCTGCAGTGGCACGCTGTCGGTCTCTCATGTGACAACTGACAAGGCAGAGGAGAGGAGAGGAGAGGAGAGACAGTCCAGCGAGTTAATATGAGAGAGAAGAGTAGCAGAGGTGAGTAGAGTGATGAAATGAAGTGCATGCAAACAACAAAGCAATGCATGTAGTACAGCCCCCTCCCTCTCTCTGATTGATTTTCTCTTTCTCTCTCTGATTGATTCCCTCTTTTGTCCCGTCCCCAGCTTTCCCCTTCCTGGCAGCATAGGCTCCCCTCTAAAACCCTCTGCCTCCACTGTAAATCTTTGGAAAACTGATTTTTTTTTACAGCAACAATTCGCTGTCTCCAGGGGCCTATAAATCCAGCGCCTTCCTGGCTTGCTTCATTCGTGGATCTGAGAGCATTTTTCAGCATTCAGTAACATTCTCGGAGCGGATTTCTCCCTTGCTGCTTCTGCGGATTTCTCCGAGAATTTTCAGTGGATCCGGTGAGCATTTTGTGTGGTGCTTTTCATGGTTTATTTGTTTGGCATGTGATTAGCAAATTCCTCAGCGTTGAAGATTTTGGGTTCCCTTTGGAGTGTTTAGTTCTTGATCATTCTCTAAACATTGTTTTTCCAGTTTTAGTTTCATGTTTAGAGAGACATTGGTACTGTTTTGCAACCCTTCCAGATTGTTTGTTGCACATCTGAAAGTTTGCACACCTTTGTGGGAAAAGAACGACGCTTTATTGTTTCTGGAGAATGAATTCCTGTGGTATCTGATGCTGTAGGACCATAAAGCTCACTAAACCTTGCAACTTTACTGCTGTCCTACCTCTACCTCACTAAACTGCCATATGGAATAAACACTGAAGCTGTTTTTTTTTTCGTGCTTGGTTGGTATTGATCGTCGTGGGCAAAGCAGAGGAAGACCCTCCCATGGAGATGACTGACATGAAACCAGAGGAGATGAGCCACCCTCCCATGGATCAGCTGCTGGGAATGGAGTACTGCATAGACTCCAACCCTTCCTGGGGTAAGTACTCAGGCACCTAGGCTTGTATGATTCATTCATCTAACTATGTTGTGAGTGACTTTATGGCACTAAATATGCGTGTCTCTTTGATGGCGAAGGAGGGGCTGTTTTGCTGGGCTTCCAGCATTTCATCCTTTGCTTGGGGACTGCAGTGATGATCCCCACCTTGCTGGTTCCCCTCATGGGAGGAAATGCCGTAAGAGTCCTTTCATTATTCAGCTTTATTGTTGCTAATAGATGATGCCATATCTGACTGCTCTGTGCCATATTGGTGTTTGTCTTGAAAAAAATTAGAATTAAATAGTTAGATTTGATTCTGGATTATACATGTCATTTAAGCACAGAAAGTTATGTCTTTGATATCATCATTTCCAGTGTAAATGTGTAATAAGGTTGATGGTACTGGTCACGTTATTTGATTTCATATGTATTTTATCACTACATATCTATAGAATTAATAGCCTCGATGTTTAAAACTACTGTTCCATCTAGTATCCGTGAGATTTTGTTAGCCTTGTGCCATGATAATGTGCTCACACTAGTGCCTCGTTTGCATGTATCCAGAATTCATCTTTTTGGATGATGGATCTTTTCATGTACTGTTTCTCATTGATAGAGTCCATCCTGATTGGTACATTATTGCCTGTTTGTTTGCTTCCAGCATGACAAGGCAAAGGTGGTACAGACAATGCTGCTTGTGACTGGGATAAATACAATGCTCCAAACTCTGTTTGGAACTCGTCTGCCCACCGTCATTGGTGGGTCTTATGCATTCCTAATCCCAGTTGTATCAATAATCAGTGACCCCTCACTGATACAAATTGCTGATGGTCATACAGTAAGTGTGCAATGATCATTGTTCTTTTTAGTTAGTATATTAGAAGTCATCTCAGTGCCACAACTCACATGTTTTCTCTTATTGCAGAGGTTCAAAATGACCATGAGAGCCATACAGGGGGCCCTGATAATATCGTCCTGCATTCAGATAATACTTGGCTACAGCCAATTGTGGGGGGTATGCTCCAGGTACAGACGAGTCACGCATTCAATTGTTGTATCATGTCAACTAATGTTCAAACACTTGTTTGCCCCTATCATAATACTATTATTTTGTCATCTTAGATGTATGGCCAAGTGGCCATTAAACTGACCACTGGTTTGGTTACTTGTGTTGCAACTTCCATACAAGGTGTATTTCTAACAGTCATTGTTTCTTTATGTGTGTAACTTTTAGCTTGATATATGTGTTGACAATAAGGTCATATGATTGATCAATAGGTTATTTCTTTGTTTATTATTTGTACTAGCAACGGGCCCTTTGATAATCCACTTTGGGTTCTCAATTTAAGAATTGGGCTTTACATTCAGGAAAAGAAAATATGCCGATATGATAATCAATGGGTGAAATTAGCCAAAAGCAGTGTGACATGGCTGCAACCTTTGAATTGACGATAGGAATCGTAAGATGTTGTTTTGATGTTCCTGTTGCAGGTTCTTCAGCCCACTTGGGATGGTTCCAGTTATTGCATTGGCGGGACTTGGTCTTTTCGAGAGAGGATTCCCAGTGGTAAAGGCTCAGCTAATAATTTGCTCTTATCATTATCAATAATACGTGGCTTGTACTGTCAGAATTTATGTTTCTTACGTGGGAGCTTTAGAGAAGTTCGTTTAAATCATATTAATTCAGTTACTATGAAGGACTGTAGCCTAAATGTGCATTATAGTAGTGTATATCAGTATTCTTCCCAGAAGCTAATTAGTCGATTTGATGTTCTTAGATTGGAACGTGTGTGGAGATTGGTCTTCCGATGCTTGTCCTGTTTGTGGCACTTTCCCAATATCTGAAGCACGTACAAGTGTGCCATTTTCCGATATTGGAGAGGTTCTCAGTGCTCATCTCCATCGCACTTGTCTGGTTATATGCCCACATCCTCACTGTGAGTGGGGCATACAAACATAGTTCGCAGGTCACCCAGCTCAACTGCCGAACTGACCGTGCCAACCTCATCACAACCATGCCATGGTCTGTAGATTGATGCTTCAACCATTGCTTTATTTTCATCTCATTCTTTCACACTTATGGAATGAACTTGTCTGATCTCCTCAGGTTTGATGTTCCCTACCCACTGCAATGGGGTCCCCCGACTTTCAGCGCAGATCATTCATTCGGCATGATGGCTGCTGTGGTGGTGTCCTTGGTAGAGGTAAGGGCATCTCCAAGGAAACCCCTTAAAACACTTCCCCATCTGTTTTCTCTCCTCATTGTACAAAACAGCAATCTAATAGCACTCATCTGTGCACCCATCTCTCCCATCTCTCTCTCTCAAATTTGGGGGAGGTTTGAGGGGTCTCCCATCTGTGCAATCCTACATGACAGTATGCTTTTGGGTAGACAAAGTGGCTTTCACTTTTAAATAAGGGATCAAATATTTAAACAAAGTGTACGGTCGTATTTCTTGCAACTAACCCAATAACTCAAGATCCATATCATATCAACTATGTTTTAGTGTTTTAAAAAGTGTGACTTGCGAAAATTCAAATTATTCGAACTATGACATCTAAAAATTTAAATTTGAAATGTTGTCGAATGCTATGTGACTGAATATTTACATTCAAGTTATTGTGATGCCAAAGGAGACCTGAACTATAGTATAGTGTTGTTGTAGAATGTAAGAGAGAAGAAGTGGATACCATCCCCCCAGTCCTCAAATACACAGATAGAAATAGCAGATGGGGGCAAATGGTTCCAGGCGCCACAACATCCCATTACTCCATGCGATCTCTAGCAGCATAGACAATGCAGTTACTTGACATCGTGCTGAACTGATTTGTCTGACTATTTTGAGCATTGCAGTCTACCGGAGCATTTAAGGCTGCTGCCCGGTTGGCAAGTGCGACGCCCCCACCACCATTTGTCCTGAGCAGGGGAATTGGATGGCAGGTCAGTTCTTGTCATACACTAAGAAACATTGAGATACTATCTTGTTGGTGACTCCTCTATGAGAAGATTAATATTTATTTCTGTCTTCTGACATGTGAAAAATCAGGGAATCGGGCTGCTATTAGATGGGCTATTTGGTACTGCCAGCGGTTCTACTGTCTCTGTGTAAGTGTGTCTGCTTATTTGTCACAAGTTTGCATCCAGATCTCCAGTGTCATGCCATGCCTGACATCATGTATATTACTTTGCCTAACAGGGAGAACGTCGGTCTCCTAGGATCAACCAGGATTGGTAGCAGAAGAGTCATTCAGATCTCCGCTGGTTTCATGATCTTCTTCTCCATCCTAGGTGAAATATTATTGTCAGTACAGTCAATAAAATGACACTGAACCAATTTTTCTCTGGTTCTCAACTCATTTTGTGGTTTCAGGGAAATTCGGAGCGCTGTTCGCCTCAATTCCATTCACACTGTTTGCTGCTATATACTGTGTATTGTTTGGCTATGTCGGTATGTAATATTTGAAATGTCAAAAGAAAATATCTCTGTTATCCATTGTTCTCTCGATAGTCTGTGATCGGGTTTGCTTATTTCACCAGACAGCTCACTAAGCGCTGTCTTGTTTGGTGTTTTCAGGTGCTGTGGGGCTCTCCTTTATGCAGTTCATCAACATGAACTCAATGCGCAGCCTCTTCATTATCGGCATGTCACTGTTCCTTGGCATATCCATCCCGGAGTACTTCTTCCGGTTTACAATGGGCAATCATCACGGACCGTCACACACGAGAGCTGGATGGGTATGTAGCCCTCGTCCTGCTCTCCGAAACTTGCTGCCTGTCAGCTGAAAACTTGCTTGAGTTCTGAACTAAACCTAACAATTTTTGTGCAATATGCAGTTCAATGACCTTATCAACACCATCTTCTCCTCACCCCCGACCGTCGGGTTCATCATTTCGGTGGTCCTAGACAACACGCTGGATGTGAGGAACAGAGCTAAGGACCGTGGGATGCCTTGGTGGGCTAGGTTCAGGACATTTCGCGGGGACAGCCGGAACGAGGAGTTCTACAATCTGCCATTCAACCTCAACCGGTTCTTCCCACCATCGTAAGATGAGCTGGATGACTGATTGAGCAGTAGGCTTTTTAGTGCAATTGAAGCCAACCATAGAGTGACTGTAGCCACCAAATGTCATTGTAATTGTGGTTTGGCTTCCAAAAGATTAGAGGAGATTTAGGACTAGGGGATAGAACTAGAGCAAAGAAACGCTGGGCACTTTACCAACAAGAAAGCAAGGATTTGTTGGCTGTGTTGGGAGGTCGAGGTTCCTGCCTTACTGGAGTGGATGTACTCATGTACGTGCTTCAGTTTGTTGTTGGAGATGACCAATGAGAATCAATTACTTAGCTTTCAGGTCACTTTCTTGCTCCTGTGGTTAATTTATCAGTATTCGGTTATGAAAACGTTTAAAAAATCATTATTACATGACGAAACAAAAACAAATTTTATGTCCTAAATAGAAAGCACATGAAGAACCCTTGAACAAAGATGGTCTAGGTAATACTTGTTTGTGCTGGGCTCATTTAGCAGCTCATGTGCCATATCTAAACATGGGTAATGGGTTGAACTCGAAACATGTTGTAGAACAGGAGAAAGTGAGACTGTGAGACGGACTACGTTTTACATGGTGAAAGGTATTACTGGTGTTTCTGTGACTAGAGAAAAAATGTATTTGTCGCTCCTCAGTCCCGGTCACAAACTACTTGTAAATTTGAGTTTATTTGACAGTCTTTTTTCCAAATACGTAAGCATACAATAAGCCTACAACTACAATGCTCTTAAACGTACTTTTGATATACAAAATCTAACAGAACACTTAATACAGTAATTACTGAAAATTAAAAGTTCGATGGTCAAACAGTGATTAGTTTTAAAGCCATTTGTTTATACCAAAACAAATATTTGATATGGATCATATTTTAAATTATGAAATTCATTGCATGGAAGTTATTCAAATGTCCTACTGAAAAAGATGGAGAAACCGTGCACAAAAACAAAAAAAAAAATGCGAGAAACCCGGCACAAAAACAAAACAAAAAAATGCGAGAAATATATCCGACCTGCCGGATTCGAACCAGCGACCTAAGGATTGAACCTGCGATTAACTACAGTCCTCCGCTCTACCAACTGAGCTAAGGTCGGCTTCTGATGTCTGCCCAACCTAACTATAGTTATCAATTGACGCATGAAAAGGCTGTATGCATCTGTCATGCAAAGTGTGTCGCTGCAACTGCAATTACTCACTGGTGAACCCTTTCCGGAGCCGCAGTAAATACTGATTTCTTTTGTTGTCCAGGCGTTGGGCAACCGGCCATGTGCTTATTTTAAGTAGGGCTTTATTTAAATCCAGGGTATAAAGTTTTAGGGTGTCACATCGGGTATTGTATGTGGTGTTGTATAAGATGTTTTGATACTAATAAAAAAACAAATTACAGAATCCGTCGGTAAACCGCGAGACCAATTTAATAAACCTAATTAATTCGTCGTTAGCACATGTGTTACTGTAGTACCACATTGTCAAATTATGGACTAATTAGGTTTAAAAGATTCGTCTCGTAAATTAGTCGCAAAATGTACAATTAGTTATTTTTTTAATCTATATTTAATACTACATGCATGTGTCCAAACATTTGATGAAATAGAACCTAGACTTTTAGGGAGTACTAAACAAGGCGTGTAGGAGCACACCCAAACACCGGCAAAGTCATTATGGATGGTACAACTTTTGCCTCTGCAACTACAAGGGAAATGATGAAATGTGAAAAAGCTCCGGGGCCCCAAAGCCCAAACTACCCTTGTCATAATTCACAGCAACAACAACATAGCCTTTTAGTCCAAACAAGTTAGGGTAGGCTAGAGTTGAAACCCACCAAGAACCCTAAGTCACGGTTCAGGTACTTCAATAGCTGCTTTCCAAGTACTCATATTCAAATATAGATCTCTAGGTATATCTTAAGCTTTTAAATCTCTTTTTATTGTCTCCCCTTGTCAATTTCGATCTTCCTCTACCTCTCCTCGTATTTATCACAATTCACAACGATCCGAAAAAGCATCCAACCTTCACATCTGTCACAGCTCATAAAAGATGGGCCAAATTTGTTAGACTATCCATAGTGGCCCTGTTCGCTTGTCTTATAATCCGTATTTTTTGGCTTGTTTTTTCAACTGGAAGAGTGTTTTTCTCTTACAATAAATCAGCTAGAACAATATTTTAGCTTGTTTTTTCAGCGAAACGAACAGGGCAGTGTATCCGATGCTGAAAAAAAATATCTCTAGGTGCCACCTCATCTCAGATGTCAAAAACCACACGTGTCAGCATCGAGGTTTGGAGTGTACGGGACCTGAGTGGTTAGAACCATCTGCTTCCTTACGTAGTCCTTCGTGTGCGAAAGATACTTTGTATTTGGCTACCATCGTGAGAATCAACGGCTTGTTTGAAAATTACTTTGTTTTTAATTTGGCCCTGCATCGAGGAATGAATATTATCTGGGTCATGTGTTTTTTTTTTGTTTGAACATCGATACACACAGTGTTTTACCTTTATGCTTTGTTACTCTCTTTCATTTCTCAACATTGGTAAAAAGGCACAATGTGGATAGTTTTAGGAAAGCTTAGGGATGGATTCAGATTAGATCCACATGGAATCGGACACGGATAGCACTACTTACCATATTTTAATTCGAATCAGATACAAATACATATATTATCAAATATGAATTGAAAATGGATGTCTCGAATTCAGATTCACATTCGGATATCTACTAGATTTTGACGAGAACATATATCTTTTTGTTTGTCGATATTATTAGTAGAACAAAACCATTATACATGTAGAGAATATGATTGTATAAAACCTGTAGATAACGACAACTCAAAAAATAACATCTATAATAAATATTTCAGTAGTTAAATAATCAAAAATTAATAACACTATAAATAATATTTATCAATAAATAGTTTAAAATATATACAAATAATGTTATCAATATATGAATAACTAGAGTACTTAAAATTAATATGATTAGACATATTAAAATTAACCTTTATATAATATTATTATTAATAATAAATTAATATAATGTTATTAGCCATAGAGATAAGTTCTGATAGTTTAAATGATGCATACCATTTGTTATATTAAAGTTGATACCATTTACATTACTAATTGGTCATAGATATACGTTTTAGATGCCTTTACATGGTACTTTGTTATTCAGGGATATGGATAATATTGGATATTTACATTTTTTTTAATGTGGATGTGGAATGGTAAAGAGAAAAATTATAGAAAATGGATAAAAATACATCCACTTAGTATCCATATTAAAATCGAATATGAATACGAATATCCATTTTGGTACTAAAACAAATACGGATATCGAATCTTTCAGATATTTTATCATCCGCATCCATCCCTAGGAAGACTTTACAAAACTTTCCTCATAATATTAGATGCTTTCAGTACCTTATGTGTGTGCATTTACAGAATTTTGATGAGCCACACAGCAAGACTCAACTTGCAGAGTTCCAATCTCCCACAGCTTGCAAGCTTACAAAGACAGTCACGGAAATTTGTCAGTACACGCTTCTCTTGCTCTATGAAAACGTCAGGCAAGTTCTGCGCCCTGCTGGTTGAGTGAACTGCATCTTCATCTCTTGACAACTGGAAAACCATGTCTGAGGTCCAGGAGACAAAGGCCTGTTGTTTATACGTCCTTCCAGCACAATTTGCTTCCTTGTAAAAACTCTTGTTTGTCCTGAGTTTCTTGAACACTTCTCTGTCATAGTCTGTGGAAGAGAGGCAACTCTCCACGCAGTCGAACCTTTTTGTGTTGGTGTTTTCATTCATTCATTCTTCAATCTGAAAAATTAGAGTTTCAGAGATAATATAACATGATAAGATATCTGAATATAAATGATATACAACTATTAAGAATCGGAAACAAAACTTCTGTATCTCCAAATTCTCATCTTATAACTGCGGCAAGCCAACTGTTCATAGCGGCACCCCTAATATCTTGTGAGCACTTGGGTTGAAGTTGAGAACATCGATGGGGATAGGAAGTAACAAGTGCACAACGGCAACTGCCTGACTGTAAGACAAATGGGTGCATGGCCGATCACACCCATATCATAAACGGAAAAGGGAGACACATAAATACAATCTCCCAAAAATAAATTAAATATAGAGATGTCAGTATTTCGCACATATGTTTTTAGATAGGGAAAGTTTGCCAAAAAAATTTATAGATTTCACAAAGTCTTTTTTTTTGGATTTTGATGAAAGACAGGTTGAGCATGAGAAATATTCTATGAAGAAAGAACATGTATCTAGAATCTTATGACTATATGCTTTGTCAGTTAAATATGGGAGGAAACTGAAACTGCAGAACACTTGTTCCTAACCTGTCCTTTTGTGAGATCATGTTAGAACTTGTTGTTACTATCCAGTTTCCTTTGGTGCAATTTATTTTAATGCTTCTCATTATTTTTGTTGTGCGGGGAGTGCTAGATGGCGCGTTTCATCCCCCTCCCCCGCCAGGCGCCCGTCCACCTCCCACCTCGCCGACCTCTACAGCGGAGCTGGCGCTCACAGCCCACGCTGCCGCCACGGCTATCCCCTCTCCCACCTCGCCGACTTCCACCTCAGAGCCGGCACCCACAGCCCACGCCACCTCCTCCTTGTCACCTCACGCGAAGCCCTTCCGTCCGGCGTGCCACTCCAAGGAGCTCCGCTGGACTATATCCAGTCCCGGGTCTGGCTCCTCAGGCGGATCGGACCAGCGGCCACTGGACTCTCGTTCATTCCGGGACGTGGTCGCATTGTCGGCGGCGTTGGATGTGCCGCCTAAGCCTTCCCCACCGGCAACTGAAAGTCCGGGTCCTCGCATCATCCTCCGTTCCGAGATTAACATTCCCACCCCAGCAAAGAATGGCCTTGACGCGGATGGGTTTGTGACGGTGGAATCACGGTCGTCTTCAACTGCTTCTCCCCTGCTCATCGTGCGGTCCAGTGCAAGTCTTCACCGAGGTGCTTTCGCTGCCGTGCCT